TCTTCAGCTTCACTTTGCCTTCCACAACATCCACAAGGTCCAACCCGAGATCACAGCCCTCTGTACATCAGGAAGACAACTTCATTTGCACTATCACTGACACATGAATGTCCACACCAACAAACACAGGCCACGACTCTGTGCATCCTGTTCTTTTACTTTAATTGGGCGCTTTATCGTTACAAGCAACATCTTCTTTAGCTGACCAGAATTAAAGAGAAGCTTTAAAAGACTCGCTAAACTGGAATAACCACTGTCTGTGAAACGGCAAATGTTTGATGTTTCTACACACCCGCTGAGACGCCGTAACTCATTCTCTCCTCACTATGCTTATATATAACGTTATCGTGTTTTGAATAAAAACTAAGAGCATTTAAAGACGTTGGTTTTAAGAAGGTCTTTAACATCTACGCCCTGTTCGTTTTAACACGCTTCTCACATCTGTTAGCCAGTTAGCACGAACAGAAAAACATCTATCTGTGCAGTAAATGTTAACAAACATTGAGAATACACACCGGCGGTGGATAAAACTACTTGTACTCACTTGTCACGTGTAGATATATGCCATAATCTTTTAGAAAAGACACATGAGGTGTTCCTCGTATCCTTGCGGCATGAAAGCAGCAGAGTATCGATTAACTCGCCAGATAGCTAAATTAGTTAGCCTGCTAGCCGAAGCCAAGTAAAACACTACCATACGCGAAGCGAATGGGAGAAAACGAAATCAGAACTCGCGTATTCCTCTAAATGTAGTCGTATATTGGTGTAATCGCTTTTAAAGCACCAAAATAAAAGCAATACAAGTATAGCAAAACAGCCCGAACTGGCTGAGGCGAATTCAAGTAGGTCGCGCTGTTGTGTTAGATGATAGCAAGCGCAGACCTGGAATGACAGGAATGTGGAGCTTAGTGATTTATGGATGTATTCATGTGTAGTCATTAAAGTCTCCAAGTGATGAAAACCAGCTAGGTATAACACGCCCTTAGCTTGTCGATGAATCACATTATTTCTTAGGAAGCTTTAAAGTCATTTTCATTTTAGGAATGGTTATTTGCAGGTGTCCAATGATGGCAACATGGAATATGTATACGCGTATTTCAGATGTTCAACATTGTGCCACTTTCACTCAAGTCGTTTCCAGTAATTAATATATATTGTATTGTATTGTACTGTATGGTATCATTTCAAATTGTATGTTTAAGATGAAAGAGTTCTCTTGTGAAAGGGTTAAAGGACTTCACATTTGTTTTAAATCTGATGGACAGTCCTTCAACACAAACTACTGATCAATAACATGAACTGCATTTCATTAACTAACCTTAACTAAACATAAGGCATAAAATTTGTCTAGAATAAAAACAGTGTTCTATAACGTCAAATGAAAATTTGGAGTGGAAATTTAACATCCGCTCAGAGAAAACACTGATTTGTGTCCAACAAACAATTGTATCTGATATTCAAGTACTGAAGTCATTCAAACACTTTTGGCAGGAGTCAGGACTGCTTTAATATTTTAAATCCACAAGTTAACAAATCAAACAGTTTCACGTTTGCTGATATGAATTTCGAGCAAGACAGAGTGAAAGACTACAAAGCAGTGAATTTTCCATAGTGTGATCCAAATCAAGCAGTTTATTGCTCACATAAAACAAAATACAGATATCCAGGTGAAGTTCTTCAGGGGAAGATTTACAGAGAGGACATGGGGAATGACGCTCCGGGGGTCCAATCAGTGGGCAGGCTCTGTGAGAAAAGGAAAGTCACATTTTACTCTGTTTTCTCTAAACTTTTCCTACCTAACACCTAAAACTCCCTTGCGGAGCGAAGTTTGGAAGCCTCTGGTTCAGAACTTTTCACTTTTGCTTTGAAAACTGTTAAAATACTTTATGAAAGTTTAAACTTTCCATGTTTCACCAAAGTTTGAGTAAAAATAATAACACCAAAACGGCTTACACTTACTTGACTGCACGGCTTTCTTCTTTCCTGCAAAACAGCAATATTATTGTTAATAATTTAATAATAACATTAACAAGCTCTTAAAATCAAGTATGTAGCCTTGTACACAACACCAAAAGTTTCGGTTTCTAAAATAGTGTAACAAACGGTCTATGAATATGGGCAATGCCCAGAAGATACTAAATTTAATGGCAAGAAAAATGTGCACCATAAAATGAATAAGGGTTTATGACATTTAGACAGCATGCACACTACTACAGAGCTCTTAAACTTGACATCTCACCTCCATATGACAGTTTGTAGTACATGAAAGTCATGATTCCTACACCAACCCACATCTCCTGGTATGCTTTGGTGTAGTAGGGGGCCACCTTAGTCCACCAGCCAGCGAATGCACCACCTGCCATCTAGTGATCACAGCATAAAGATGCATGAACATTTGTCTAAAAGGCGTCAAAAACCATGTAACATTAATTTACCACTACAGAGCCCCGCACATGGCATGCAGGAAAAAAATAGTAGGCTAAATCGTGCACACGATTACCATTTCGTTACCTCGATTTATAAATTGTGCACACGATTTACTAATTCGTCCCCTCAATTTGCTAAGTCGTGCACACGATTTATATAAATCGAGAGAACGAATTAGTAAATTGTGCGCACGATTTAGCAAATCTAGGTAACGAAATAGTAATCGTGTGCACGTTTTTACTAATTCGTTCCCTCAATTTGCTAAGTCGTGCACACGATTTATATAAATCGAGAGAACGAATTAGTAAATTGTGCGCACGATTTAGCAAATCTAGGTAACGAAATAGTAATCGTGTGCACGTTTTAGTACATCGAGGGAACGAATTAGTAAATCGTGCGCACGATTATTTTTCTTGCATGTCATGTGCGGGGCTCCGTATACCACACACGTTTGAACATGCAAGTTTGAGTAACACGACACAAACAGTACTTTCAAGGACATTACTCAAACATTCAAGGACCAGTTCGTGAATAAAAAAACAACACTATTAGACTTGAATATAAGGAGTCTTTAAGACAGTGACCAAAAAAGTGCAAACACATTCTCGGTAATTCACTGTCGCATTCATGCCAAGCTCGGTTGAGTTTAAAGATAACGCGTCTCTTGGAAGGCGATAAGAACAACAGCTCTTTTCACCGTCTAATATAGAAACAACATTCTCGCAGAGGCTGTGGAAAAAAAAAAACACGCCTCGATTCATGTGGACCATTCAGGCGTCAAGCTTGAGTCATTAACCAATGTTGATTAATTTAAGGCGCTCAGCAAGGCCTTGACATTTATAGTTCAATGTCCGAAATAAATAATGGCTTAAAAGACAGGGAATCTTCTTGAAATAGTCAGTGATTATTTAAAACAGGCCAACTGAAAACATATAAAATTGATCATAAGAAAACATTCTCACCTCTAGAATGTAAGTGCACTGGACCACTCAGAGAAGGTCACTGTTCAGCGCTAGCTCAGTTCGAGGAGACAGCGGAACATCTATGTAGGTTTCCGCTTTGTAATTAAAAGCACCGGCACCAAAATAAAAGTCCACGTGTGAGGGTAACGCTTACATTTATTTTTCATTGTCCTCATTGTGTCTCCTTTAGACAGACTTAAAATTTGATTTTTAATTGGATGAAAATCAATTTAAATTAAATATTAGCATTTTATAAAAACATTAGCACCACACAGTCTCTTACTTTGCTCTAAAAGTAGATATAGTTAGATAGATAGATAGATAGATAGATAGATAGATAGATAGATATGTTATATTTTCTTTGTATATTATATCAAAAAAGTTTTAAAAAATCAGAACGAGAGGATGAAAACCAAAGAATGTGAGATGCTAGAAGCAACCTGGTCTGAAAAACAAGACCAAAGTCACTTATAAAAATTGACTTGGCAACACTGGTGTGAGAAATAATTACTATAAAAATACAAATTAGGTTTTGTTCAAATCAAATTTTCACTGACAATGTACATGGAGAGAACAATAAAGCTTGCAGTGTTCACAGAAGCAAACTAAGCTTGTTACACAAAAGTATCAGTATTTTTTTTCCTTTTTTCTGTAGAAGAGGTAACAACAAAAGTATAAGCAGAAAATGTGATAAGACAATATTTATGCTATATATACTATATTTGGTTTTGCATCTGCAGGCTTTTGTGGTAACAAACACTCCACAGAAGAGAACTTCACTTTATCTAGCCCTATAGTTATTCCGCAGTCAAGAGATAATTACCAAACCTATACTTTGTTTGCCACTTTCAGTCCATGCTACATGATAAACGCAGTTCTGTCACTATATGATAAAAGACAAGTAAAGATTTTAACTGTTATCAAAAAAGCATGGGAGAGGTGAGAGTGCTATTGTTGGTAGTTCATGGGTACATGCAGCAAGCAGGACCACTGATGCGCAAAGTCAGTGGTGCAATCCTTTCCCCTCAGGCTAATCTCTGCTCTGTAATCCAGAAATATAACTCTGAAAAAAAAATGACAGATTAGGTTGGATATCTGGGTTGACTGCTCTGGGTGTATGTGCTTATGTGTGTGTGCTACTTTTAGTTTGATCAGTCATTAGCTGTGTACTCTGGAAAGCTACATCACAAAAAAAAAACGTTACTGTAAATAGAAACAAATGGGCACAAATGCAAAGGCAAATGTTAGTTTAGACAATAACATTAAAGCAATAGTTCTAAAGACATTAAAATATCAGAATGAAAATTCTGTCATTATTTACTATTGTACCTTTTATTTTGTCTATAAAACACAAAAGTAATTTTTTTTTTTTGAAGAATCATTATGCAGTTCTTGTTAACAGTTCATAGTAACCAGTAGTTGTCAAGCTCCAAAAATGGCAAAAAAAAGAAAAAAGAAAAAAAAAACACCATAAAACAATTAAAAAGTAGTCTTTCTGACTATAACTAGACACAATTTAATAATAATAATAATAATGATAATATTTATATAATACATTTTTAAAAATTATTATTATGATGTTGACAAATTTTTTATTGAAAAAGTAGCTACTTCATGTCATAAAAATCAGTTTTGTTTTTCATCTTATCGATCAATTACAAAAAGATGATGGCTCATCTTCCAAGTTTTAACATCACATAATACATCCTCATGTTAATTACTTTTAATAATTCTAATTAACTGGAGCAGAGGATTAGATTTTTCAAACTGGAAAGACAGAAAATGGTTGCATTGACTTTTCAAGCCAATCTCACTAGGAAACAATGAGGTGGCGATTTCATATGAATTTATAGGTGGTGATTTGTATGAAAATGCATTATTATTAGTACATTAAAGTATTACTATAAAAGTAACCATCTATGGGATGCAAGCAGATCATACAAAAACATACAAATCAGATTGTACCAATTCTTAAGAATTAGCCACTAATTTGACAAAACATAAAATTGTTATGAATTGCCATGAGAAGGTGTTGGACTTCTACAATTAAGTGTCTCACAATGTGGTGCTGTAGGCCTCATAAGCAAAAGGGCAAAAGGGCAGACTCCAATCTCTGTGGATAGAGTAGGGGCAGGCGGCACGCAAATGTTTATCCACATAACTAGAAATAGTAGGAATTTCCTCCCTGTGCTTTCCTGTCTCCTCTGATAAAGAATTAGATGCATTTCCAACAATACGATTTCTGTCATTACTCTCTGTAGGTGGACTCGGAGCAGAAAGAATTGTTGATGGAGCTGAAGGGGCTGGGCGTCTCTGTATGCCGTCTTCCTGTCTCCTCAGGAAGTCTCTAAGAACTTGCTTGAAGACACCCACCAGTTCCCAGGGAGGAATGTCATTGTGGGCCAAAAGATCATGAAGCCTTGATGGAGCACAATAAAATGTTTAGTAAAATATTAAAGCAATATCACACAAGCACAGTAATCACAGCTGTGCTGATGTTTAGTTTAACAGCATAATTGTGAGTGAGTAATGTTTTCATACAGAGCTCTGCACATGATGTGGGGAAAAATAAAATAAAACAAGATACTGTGGCCACTGATTAAGAATTTGTTCCCTTATCTAATTAGATTTTCCCTTCATTTTAGTTAAATCCTGGACAAGATTTCACTAAATTAAAACAAGGGAACTAATTAGTACAATGTGGCCACGATTTACCTAAAATGAGGGAACAAATTAGTAAAGTGCAACAAATCATGAAGTCTGGGGAGCAAAAATTCTTAGTTTGGGGCCATAAAATCTATTAAGCAATTTTCATTTTTGACTGTTTTGTTTATTTTCACTTTGCAACCATCTCCGAGCAACACACAATATTGATTTATCTTCTCTGAATGAATTAAGGTGTTTGAATGAATTGGTTGAGTGAATGATTCAATGACTAACTAATAAAGACTAAGAATAAATCAGTGTGTTTGCGCGCATCATTTGAGCAATTGATTCAAATGACTCAAGTTAAAGTCATTTGTCGCCACCTACTGGCATAATCATGTTACATGCATAAAGTGTCACGGAAAAATCCCTACATCTGTCTGGAGCGCACAAATGGACAAAATCATGAAAATAATTTAGCACAATTTTTTGGCTTCTAAAATGTGCTGTCATATTCTCGTGTACTTAAAGGGCTATTCACCTAAAAATGAATGTTCTATCATTTAAAAATGCTGTCATTATTACTCACCCTCATGTTTTTAAGCTGATATGATAGAATGTTCATTCTTTATTTTTAAAATAGTGAATGTCAGCCATTAAAGAAGACAGATTTTTATATTATATGTGATTTTTTTTAGAGCATTCGAAGACCATTTTAGAGCATTTATATAGGATTTAAAGAACATTTGAACAATATGTAGAAAGTGAAGCAAGCAAGGCAAAACTGAGAGACCTTTTTTACCTGGAAAGTACAATGGCAGTGTGTGAGGGTGGGATGCGACCACAGAGGCGCTCTAGCTGGCGGTGTTCAGAAGCAGGTATAAGGGCAAGCAGGATTGGGTATGCTGGGGGGTGACGGTATCCCAGAATGCCATGGGAGATGCAATACTGAAACTCCTCCTCTTGAACTTGAAGTACTCTTTGCTCCAGCTGCCAAAGCATCTCACGTAGCAACGTCCGACCTGGGCCTCCACATCCATTTGTGTGGGGACAACCTACGAAAGGCATGGCTGGACTGCAGTGTAGGAGCAATAAGAAAGAGTGTTGGTGTAACAAGTGGATAAAGTGCTGTATCCCGAAGTGACTTTCTTCTTTATGATCATCCTCTATAAATGAAATGTGACTTTTCATAAAGAGCTTGGTCTTCAGTAGACAGTCTTTCACACTGTATTACATCAAGCTGTGTAGTCCACATCCTGAACTGGCAGTGAAGTTAATTCATCACCATAGAGTTCCCCCTTTCAAGCTAATGCTAGCATCTGCAGGACAGTCATGTTTGTTTTATTTTATTTTTATTTGTCAACCAGCACATATAACTTTGATTATGATGGGTAATTATTTGAATATGCAGTGGTAAACAACTGAGTCATGTTGAGAAAGGCTCAAAAAGCACTTATGTTTGAAAAGGCATGTTAAAAACAAGCTAGCCTATTTGACGGTCAGGCATAAAATGCACTTCACATTAATTTAGCATAGTATTACAAAGCACTTGACATTTGCAGGCAAATTTTTAATCATGCCCTGATGGGGGGAAAAAAAATAATAATAAACTAAGATGCTAGTTGTGTTTCGGAAAATGGTGGCTGGTTTCTAGCTGGTCCAAGCTGTTCATTAAAGGTAAAGGTTAGCAGACTGACCAGTAATCTTGTTCCAAAAACAAGCATAACCAAGCTGGTTTGACCAAGATGGTTTGTTGGTGGTCCAAGATGGTCTATCAGCTTGAACTAGCTAGCTAATCATCATCCTGTGCCAGTTAATCAGCTTGGACCAGCTACCAACTAGCTTAAACCAACTAAAATGCTTCAAAACAGCATTGTGTGTGCCCTAAATAAAATAAGAAAAGTCAAAATGGGACTAGAGATATATACAAATGGTGCTCTGAGAAAGACTGTTGAGGAGATAGATATACATGAATTGAATGGACAGGTACAGAAGAGGACAAAAAGCCGGGCAAATAGAAACAGGAGGAAACAGACAGAAAGGTGATGGATGGAGCAGAATTTAAAGGAAATGATTCACCACAAAGGATAGAGGTTAGGTTTAACAACAGAGGTGAAGAATACAATGGAAAAACAAAAACTGACATTTAAAAGGATATTTTTACCTTGTGGGTCTTAGAGGTCGAGGTCCATGATGCTTTGACTCCATCTGGTACCACCAAATTGCATTAGGTTATGCAAATAAAAATATGTAAATGAAGCCAGATATAGAATGAAAGGATACAGACAAAAATGGGAAAGATGAACAGATAGTATGAGGAAACAGACAGAAAGGTGATGGATGGAGCAGAATTTAAAGGAAATGATTCACCACAAAGGATAGAGGTTAGGTTTAACAACAGAGGTGAAGAATACAATGGAAATTACAAAAACTGACATTTAAAAGGACATTTTTACCTTGTGGGTCTTAGAGGTCGAGGTCCATGATGCTTTGACTCCATCTGGTACCACCAAATTGCATTAGGTTATGCAAATAAAAATATGTAAATGAAGCCAGATATAGAATGAAAGGATACAGACAAAAATGGGAAAGATGAACAGATAGTATGAGAAAAGCAACCTAAAGAAATAATTATTCTGGTAGAAGATACTAAGAGAAACTAAAATAAGGTGTTTGAACAAGAAGAATGACAATCAAGCAAAATCAGAGGAAAAGCAAAGAAAGAAATAAAGAAGAAGGAGTGTACCAGTGACACGCAGCAATGTGCGGATGACTGCGACAGGCAAAGTTGAGCTGAAGAATGTGAATTTCTCTCCTGTCCACTGCAAACTGCCTTCTGTCTCTCTGCTCTGATAACCCAGCCCACCCTGACTGGCATGCCCTCAAACATGCATTAATACACACACACACACAAACACAGATAATTTTGACTCATACAACAGAAATAACTCAACACGAACACTGACAGATTTGGTTTGAAATGTGCATCCTGCTTCTCATCTTTCAATACACTGTCACACATCTTGTGGTCTTATATTCTAAGTCAGTCTGAGGTTCTTGTTTTCTACAGTAAAACGGTTAATGCAGTGTGGCAGTCTGAGTAAAATTATCTGAAAAAATGCACCCTGTGTCAGCATGTAATGTGACCCAGTGCCAAGGGGAATTATGTCAGTATACAAGGGAACAAAATGAGAGTTCCTGGTCTGCTCAACAGTGTGACACACAGATGAATAAGCCTGTATTCTTGGGTGGAAAATAACGATTCTGACATATTAAACCATGGGATCATTAAATAAATACAAACATGTATTCAGTCTAAAATGTAATTGTAAAATAAATCACAGTTTAAGGTCTTAGAGATCCTCTATATCTAAAAAAAAAATTGTCTTATACTTCACATTTGTTTGGAAAACATGATCATGCAAATCTTAATTAGACAAACAAATATAAATAAGCATATGTACCCATTCTTCATTAACTACATTTGGTATGACCATTGTATGTTCATTTATGTGGATGAAAAGCGCTTGTGCTCAGAAGAGTTCATCACATATAGCAGTTGGTGTCCATATGGTGGATTCGGGGAAGGCTGGAGGCTGGATGGTCTTCTGAGACTCATAATCACAGCCCAGCACCTGGTTCTGGTTCTGGGTCAGGTCAGGGTAAAGCACCAGACTGCTGGCCATGCCACCTGCCCTATGCACATGCCATAATCCCAAAACACAACTAGATTACAATTACATGTGTGCATGTTAATACTAAAGCAGTGCAAACTGAAAAACAGCAAAAACATAATCAACATTGTTGGCAGCATGTACAATCACAGAAATTATAATTTATTTTACATATTTACATAGGATATCAAAAGTGTTTTGAAAATGCATATGAGAAATTATTCCAGTGTTTTCCAATATAAAATAACTAAACAATATAACATCATGGTTACTATAATTATGGCCTTTAATTATAAATAAATAAATATGTTTATTTTATTTTTTGCAGGGGAATATGCAAGAGAAATCATCATCATCATCATCATCATCATCAGCAGCATTTATATTAATAATATGTATGGCAGCAATGACTATATGTACTTTACAGTTTTTCTGAATTGCTAAAACACTAAACCCCAATCTCTGAACCAAATTCTCACTAGCTAAAACCAATTTGTCGAATAAAGCACTCTTTCTGCTAAACCTTAAACACGTTCAGACAGTTAGGCTCTATTTGCAAATCTCATGCACTCTTTTTGCAAAACTCTAAACACATTCTCATTCACTTAAACACCCTGTTTTCAAAATTGTGCTTAAGCAATCGTAAAAAACTGTAAGATGCATTTACTGTAACATGCTATTCATTCAGTGTTTTATTTGACCTTTTTGGCCTTTGCAGTTGGACTGCAGTATTTTTACAGTATCCAAGTGCTGAATATATACAAGCATTCAGTACTATTCAATATTCAGCATAATACTATTCTTGCAGTATAGGCCTATACAATATATTCAACTTACTCAGTTGCAATTACTATACTTTTTTTACAGAATTGCAAAATTGTTTACTCAATACAATACAATATACTTTTTTTCTGTAATGTTCTGGATGCTGTGTTCTCCATTTTTCTCTGTAGTGTCTAATGAATGCTCTGTAGTGTTTATTTTATTGACTCGTGTGTGTG